GAGTGTCTGACTTGGAGCTCCACAGCTGTCTGGGAGGAAGTCCTTGCCCCTAAGCACTGGAGCAGCTTCCCACAGGCTATTCACGATAACACAACTGGCCCAAACATTTTTTTCTATTTTTCAAAGGAACCAAATCGATGCTCAACTGTACAAAACTGAACACAGCCAATTACCCTAAAGAAAACAGACACTTCCTGAAACAATTTATCTATTTAAATTCTTTGTATATCTCAGACTTTACTAAAAAGAATCTGCTCATAAGTAGCATATTTCTGTGATTGATAACTTGTTTATAACTTTCCTTATCTGTCTGGGTTGATGCTTTGTGACTGTAAAGGTCATACTATTCATTTTCAACTAAGAATGTTTAAATGATGAGCTCAATTCCTCCAGCTGGTGCATCTTGAATATTGTTTTAAAACAGACCAATGTCTAGCCTCATGAATAGTATACATAGTCTAATAAAAATCACAAATTGTGCTAGACTCCAGTTTCATAACCTCATGTGGCTTCAAGCTATGGACAACAATCAATCATAAAATATCCAACACTAAAACCATACTTAAAATACCTTACAACTAAGAATATTGCTTCCAAAGATATTCCTTAAAAAAAACAAAAACAAAATCTCACTCATTTTGTAACAATCAATTCATAGCAGCTGATGAACAGTCAGGGGAGGGTGCTTATTGGCTACTGCTCTGCACTCAAGTGCTGTATTTCTTGCCTAATAATTTCAGTTCTTGGGTGGATAAAACTGCACAGATGGTATACTTAACACTCTAGTGAGTGGGTTGAGGGAACAAAGACTGTATGATGCAAAAGTAGCGTCTCCTGCTTGTGAAATGAGTTCTATGTTGTCCAATCTAATATTTATCAAATACAAAAATGGTGATTGGGATTTGAGGACATATGTTAAGAAAGGATAAAAATAGCTGCATCTCTCACACTTTAAGACAGGTACTTTAACTTACAAGGAAAAACAGGGAGGACTAAAATGACAAGCAAGTTAATTTAGGTGAGGAAAAGCTGTTTTGAAAACATAACCTAAGAGGTTCTGCTAACAAACTCATTTAAAATGTTTTCTCTTTAGGCAAAAGGGACAGGAATGTCTGAAGTCCTCTGTGCTCTACAGATCCCAAGAGGAGTGATGGCATCTCCTCAGTTCAGAGTACTTTGGAAAAACTGCCCTTTACTTTGAGAAAAGTGAGTTTTTAGAAGACAGCAAACAACTGAGAAAGTTCCTTATTGTAACCTATTTTAACAACATACTTACACTGTAAATTCTAGTTGAAAGCTTTCACTCCTATATCAACTCACACTCTGATGCAAATTACACTAAGAATGTAGAAATGGAAGCCACCCCTACCCTCAAGTTCACAGCAGATCAACTTCTGAGCATTAAAAATGATAGGAAATTGCATTTATTCTCCTCTCAACACAAGCCCATTGTGACAGCTGGAACAGCATTATTTTGCTTAACTGTCATACAAAAGTATCATTTGAAAACTTGCTCAGGACCAGTAAAGTATCCTATAATTAAGTCTCTAATTCTTAAATTATAGAGACTCACCATGCAATAAACTGAGAAACTTAAAAATGAAACCATTGTAGTACCGTATCTCAGTATTAACTTTACTATGAAAAATCATGGACTTTTCCCATTCTTACAATGCAGTGTGGCAGTGAAGGCTTTACAACACAGTAGGGGAGAAACCATTTCAAAATGCATTAATGTAGACTAAAAAGTCTCTAAAAATTAGTGAACTTGGAAAAAAAATTCTCTTCCTGTACTTTTGTAAATGACACTTCCTTCTGAATATTACCATGAAAATGGCATACATACCTATAGGAACTTGAAGCTCAATATCTTATTTTTCAGTTCCCAAATTCTGATATTTATTTAACAAAGGCCATTTAAAAATGAAGTAATTATAACAAGATTAACTTGCTATAATTAATTCATTTTTATATTAACTTGTTGATAACAAGATTTAACTTTTCTTTCTTCTTTACTATAAAAAGAGTTCTCTTTGCTGGTGGTGTTTGATTTTATTTTCCATTTTAATTCAAATTGGTTAAAAACACTAAAAATTAACGAAATCAGACTTTGTTGTTCTCTGTAGGAATTAGACCTCTGTGATATCCACTGTAGAAGAGTTAATTAGTATTCACACGGGACGTGTTCAGAGTCAGGAGAACTGAGGTTACAGCATGCAGTGTATAAACTGTTTAGCTTGAAAAGCTGATCTTAGGAAAGAAAAGTTACATAATTGATAAGGAAATGGCATTGTTCATTCAAGTGTGAAAACATCCACAGTAAGCATAGCCCAAGCTCAACAGGTTACAATAAACTCTCTAATAGTTAGCTCTACGGAGGTTTATTTAGACATAGCAACAAAGCCTAAGGAAGTTGATTTCTGTTTGATGCAAGTTACGTTATATCTTGAAGGGCATTTATACACATACTTTTCTGTCCCTCAACACCGGAGATCCGCCACTTTTGAGCAGACTTGATTAACTGAATCTGCTCTTCATGTGAGCCAAGGCAAACTGTGCTGCGCTGCATGCAGTTGTATAAGCGGCAAAATGCGTGTCAGTGAGCAGAAAATGGTGGTGGTGCACTTTTTAACCAAAGCACCTCTTATGTGTTTTAGTTCAAAAGTATACTGCCACCATGCTCTCAGTGCTGACGTGCATTTCACCGCTTATACAACTGCCAGTGTTAAAGTGCCCAGTGCTGTGGCACTTGCATGTGTAAAAATGCCTGTAGAAGCTAGGCTTAGACGTGTTCTCTTTTTGGGTCCTCCCATCTCTAACCGGGTGTTTTTTAAAAATATCAATAAGCATCCAAAATTTTGCTCTGTAAAGCGTGAAAGCTTTCCTGAGAACTTCACGGTTTGCCCTAGCATGTTGCTGCTTGGGGCTGGGGTGGGGGCGGGGGGAGCGGGGAGGAAGGCGCTTGGAGGCAGGGGGCATCATGTGCCTCTGTGCACATACATTCACATGGCTGGCACACAGCCAGGCAGGGTGGTGAAAGCAGCTCTGGCAGCTGGATGCAGGTAAGTCTAAGGGGGGCAGGGGTTGGAGGGCCAGGGGGCACAGAGCTGCAGGTCACAAAGTGAGTGGCACTGGCAGGGCTTTAAACAGTACTTCTCGCTGTAAACTACATCCTAAAACTCCACAGAAATATGATGGTCTTCACCAGGGTGGCCTGTTAAAAAAACAAACTGAAATATCTGTTGATGGGTGGGTGTGGGCATGTGTGTGAGAGAGTGAGAGCGAGAGATGGGGGGGGAGCAGGGGATATTAAAAAAAATAAAACAATGTCTTTCCTAGTGCTGTTTTCAACCTTAATCTACGTAGTTCCTGTCTTTAAAATGCAAATTTTCAAGTGTTATAGTAAATAAAAAAATACAAAATTGCCAAACTAAATTAAGGAACTCAAGTTTTAGTCTGGCTAAGAAAGAGGAAGATATTTAACTCGAGATAAGAAAAAAAAATTATTCTGTGGCCTTTTAATTTTTTTTTTCTTAAAGCATGCAACTTTAGTAGTGAACTGTGAATGCATAGGCAAAAATGCTTCTTAGTTCCAAAAGCCTTTCGTACATGTTGCTGGTGGTGATTTCATCTGTTCTATAGAAATGGTAAACCTCTTATCAAAGAAATTAATGCTCTGGTTAGAAGTATGTGCAATAGTGAAACTACAGTTCTGGCAGAAAACACTAAACTCACTTCTACTAATATCAATTAACATCAGTCATAAAAAAAAACGAACAACAATAAAAAAAACAAGAGTTGAATGTGAAAATATTTAAATCAATAAAAAACCCCTAAAAACAATATATTGTGATGGTCATATCTCCTTTATCCCTACACAGTATCTCAGTAAATATAGATGATTTTCATTATTTGTATTATATAATTATTTCTGTACCCTGCGTTTTCTGCATAGACAGATACTATTCCCACTATGTGGCAAGGAACTCCTACTATTCAAGGTAATGGGTTGAGTCTTTAATAGTCTATTTAAAAAAGAATGCTGATACCTTTTGGTTTCCCATAAATGTGATTTCTCAGTCAGATACTTAAATCCTTCTGTAAAGGATCCAAAGCAGATTTACTTTTAAACAGTTTAATAAGGCAGTGATTATCCGCCCTTTTCTGTGTCACTCAGATACACCTATTAGAAAACTGCAAGCATGTTACAGATGCACACTCCCTCTGTGGCCAGTCCCTTGCTAGTTCACAACTCAACCAGCCCCATTGCTACAGCTAAACATAAGCACGTCCTTGGTTCAAAATTCTCTTCCCTGACTGGTAGAGATTTGCATTTTAAGTTTTGACTTCACCTAAGCTTACATAGCATCAGATTCCAACAAAAACTAAGGATTGCCTAAATCACATTTATATTAGTACTGAAACACCAATCATTGTTAATTTGCAAGTTTGTTTACATGATGGAATATCAAACAGGCTATTTATTATACATGCCAAAAAACAGTAAGCCTGTCTGCTATACCCCTAGTCAAGAAGTCTTTCCTGAAGCCAAAAGAACACAAGCTTTTTAACAGCATGGAAGTAGTGAAACAAGATAAATAATATTTGCCGATATTACAAGAATTGCCAGCCTGCACCATAGGAAAAGTGGCCATTTGCACTGTACACAACAATATACCAAATCATTTCTCTCTTAGCTATTCCAATTATTTCTTCCTGTGGCCAATCTCTTAGACCAAAAAATGAAGAGAAAAATTCAACACACTCATTTGTCTCTTGATCCAATTCAAATGAAAAACTGAAACCAACAGGTTGGAGAGTACTATGATGCTCTTTGGATTCTCTTAGCAATGTAAAGTGAGGTCATATATAGTTCAATCATAAGGCAGCTTTTTTCTTGTAGCCTGTTTATCATACATCTATTATATCCTGGGCAAATGATGTCCAAGGAATTAATTACCCACTCTGAGAAGAATATATTCAGCTAAAAAAATTCTTACCGAAGATCTAGACCAGCTTCTTTCCAAAGGAGGTCCATCAAACGTAAAATCTGGAGTGTCAGCATGTCTTGCCGTAGATCTATAGGACAAAAAAATGCTACTATAATAGAATAATTTCAAGTTTTTTTGTATGATTGGGAATTAAATCAGCCAGTACTCAATTACATCAACATATATATAGCAATCATTATGCCAACTCAAAGAACAGGTTCGAACCAAATATTCAATCAATCCTAGAAGTTAAGTAAGGTTAGCACAAAAACCACAGTTCTTCAGATAAATTGGTACTTCAACTAGTTTCTATGGGATAGATACATTTATTGGTTGCCTGCTTGTTAAAGCTGCAGAGGTCTAAGAGAAAGATATGGCAATAAAAAGCGTATAGATACATGCAAAGAAAAATTACAACCAAAAAAATACCTCAGTAGCTCTTACCATCACCATTTTTAAAAATGATCCCTACAAAATCCCCTCCAAACATCTTATTGTTGTATACTATCCATAAAGGCTTCATTTTAGAATCCATGTATTTACACCTCTCAATGCTGTAGAAAAACATAACAAGAAAAACATAATATATTTTACTCAGTTAAGTAAGCTCTTCAACTCCAAGAAATCAAATACGATTATGAAGCAAGATAGTTTTAGAGTTCCCACTGGGAATTATTTGATCGATAAATTGAATATCATTCCTAACTTTCATTCTGCTAATATGATATTAGTTGTAATAGGAAAATTTACATGGCATCCATTACACACCAAATATACATCCATAGTTTTCGTAGACAATATATTACCTGCTTTTTACCTACCCCAAGCAAATTATATATAGATTTGTTCTCATTTAACTAGTAAGCAGTGTATCAATGTCTTATATAAGTTTATTGTGAACAGATGCCAAAACTGTAGTCTAATTCACATTTTAGATTTAAATATATTTAAGTAGGAGGCCAAATAGATATCTTGCTCATGAAAAGGCATAGAGTTTTAAGCTGGATCATGAAAAAATTCCAAACTCAAACTAAAATTGACATTTTAATCTCAAAAAGCAGCAGTTTGATCACATAGCTAGGAAGATGCCAGACTGAACTTCTCCTACCCTTGACCATGTAACTTGCATCAGCATGGCTGCTGAACAGCAAAGCCAGTAGAAGTCAAACTGCATAAGCTTTCTGCTTTACTGTTTCCATATACAAGTTATGTTTAAAACAAACAAGATCACTATTCACTTACTGTAGTTCTGAGAGTATAACAGAAGGATTCAAAGGAGATTGGAGGTTAGAAAGTGCTTCTCTGTAAGCATTTTGTTTCAAGCAGGTGTGCATTGCATCTTTTCCTTTTGCTTTGCTTTGCTTCATGGCATTCAGTTTTATTAGTCCATTTAAGGTTTTCATCTTATTAAGGGCTTCCACCTGAAATAGGTTTAAGTATTAACGCATTAGCTTTAATAATCAAAACCGTCTGGAGTCCATATATAAAAATATGGAAACTCACCTTAAAATTACAAAGCAAGTTTGAACACTTAGTTTAAACAGTAAAAAAGCTAGCTAAGCCTAACAAGAGTTCAAAGTCTCTTTCAAAAAAATATGAAAAATTGCAGTGAGGATGCCATTTAAAAAAAGTCATAATATAAATATTTTCAGAAGTACTTATGTGTCTTAGAAGCATAAATCCAATTTTCAAAAGCACAATATAGGCACTTAGGAGATGAAGTCCCACACACTTTCAATAATATATTGAATTATTATTAATTTTAATAATACTGTATGACACAGAAGGGTTCTGTGCAGGAGTTCTGTCTTCAGGATCCAAAAAGTTTTATATAAAAGAGGTTAGTTTAACATTTTCCAACTAGGCAGCAAAAATTAAGTACCTATGTCCATTCTAAAGTCAGCATACGAAAAGGACATTTAGCACCACCACAGAGGAAAGAAGATATTTTGAGACTAAATATGGATTCAAGCATTTCACTTTATAGATTCAGTTTTAATTGGCTTATATCAGCTCAGTACAATCATACAACATATTAAGCACATCACTTGAAACACTTAAATCAAGCCAGGGTAGATACTGGTTTAACAGAATTCTGAAATGCTACTCCTCTGCACACCTCATAACAACAAACTCTTGAAATCAATGCACTCATGGCACTAACATGGCACTTATCTGTTCAGTATTCAGATCTTCACTGAAAATGCTAAAGCTGTGTCCCACAGAAGTTAATGGGAGTTAGCTACCAATTCCAATGCAACTAAAATTTCATTCTATTGCATTTATTTAAAATTAATCACTATAATTTATTTTTTCAAGAACTCACCAGCCCTACAGATGAGGTATACTGAAGCTCTGTAACAAACTCAATACAAGCAAGATTTTTATTTTCTAAAATTCTTATTGTAGTGAAATTTTAATGCAGCAAAGGATAAGTGAAAACGCTTTCTAGATGAGAAAAATCATGGCTAAAATCATCAAAGTATGTGCTTAACTTTAAAAACACAAGTATCCCAACTTCCTCAAATGATTTTTCCGGTACATCAATTCAGGCCCATCAGAAATGAAGCATTATTATTTAAAAAACTACTTTTAATTTTATAACTTGTAACGAGACATTTATAATCAATATGTACTGAATTATGCAAGTGCTTTTTTCCCCATCTGTTTGTTAAATTATTAACTACATAGCTATAAACTCTCCTAAGAAAGATTCTAAGACAGCTGCAGTGATGGTCGAGGACTTCATATTAATGAAGCAAGGCCCTTTGAATATGCTGTCTAGGTTTGCCACCAAGGCATTAAACTATTAACTTGTGGTTACTGATTATAAAATGGACCTTATTTTCATCCTATCTAGAAAAAACACATGTATAGATTACCAAGATTAACTTGGTTCAATACTTCAATTACTGACTATACTTTGCTACAGAATACACACTATTTCACATACATGTAACAATTAATTTTTGTTCAAGGAACTTCAACCTTATCTTTAAGATGAGTTAAAACTTATCTATATATAAACTCAACCCTGTCAGGCAGCATGCTGTGGAAATCGTATGTAGTTTGATTCTAGAACTGAGGCAATGGAGACCTGCCAAGTCAACCATCTGTCAAAATCAAAAGCACTCTGCATTTCTACCATTCCAGGAGCTGTACGAACATCAGTGACAAGGGAACAAAATGAAACCTGTGTTGCACGAACAGGAACTTTTTGAAGTATTTCTACTTTGAATTTCTTCCATGTTTGCACAGTTGGGAATTTTTTTGCCCCTTCTTTGACTGTGTTGACATTTATTTCCTGAGAAGTATACAAAAAACTTGACTGTCCTTAAGTCTATCACTTAAAGTGTTTCATCACTTACCACGTTTCTTTTTTAAATGATTTTGACAATGCTAAACAAGCACATTTATGTAAGAAATAGCCAACTTAATGCTCTGAGAGTAGCACTAAGAGAAAAGAACAATCGTATATTCCTCTCATTTGCACTGGGGAGCAGATATAATTCAATCAGAATTTTAAGAAGCTACTGTGACCAGACAAAATTTCTAATGGGATTTCTTTTTGCAGCTTCCTCTCTCACATCACATATTTATTATGTCAATAAAAATACTGGACAGATATTACCTCTCTCAGAAATGAGTGTTACTTTAACAGTCTTACATTTAAGCTATACAACTGTGACAAACCATTCTAAGCAGGTTTTAACAACTGCTGGCAGAGGATTAATCAAAGCGAGATGTACGTTTAAGAAGTGCACCTTACTTCTCCTTTTACCTGGGCATCTCTACACTGATCAAAAGTGACATTGATTTTTAATACTCCTTATAGTGATGCCCATACAATATGTAATTAAGGAATTATTCCAGGTGGCCTAATAAAGCAACAGTTTGAATTATTTCAGACAGAAGCCAAAGCTGCAGGATGTGATCTATCAAGTCCATTACTTCACTTACATTGTTCACCCCTGCTAGTAAGTATCATATATAGGTGAATGGCTGTCATCTCAGACAGCTTCCCTCCTCAGACTTCCCACTGTTGGCTGCTTCTTGTACTTGTATCCCTCAAATCAGTTTCTCTCTCTTTCTACTAGCTTTTCAATTCTTTTTCACAAAGAAATAAACTTGCAACTGAGCCCAGTATCATTGATGGGACGTGCAATTTGACCTGAAACCTAGAAATACTAAAGATATTTAAATAAATCAATACCTGCTTGGAAAGCACCTTCATGTGAACAACACTTCCTCGGCAGTAAGCTTCAAGTATTAAACCAAACTGTACTGAAATTGCAGGTATGTGCACCTCTGACCTATGGGAAGCATCATGTGAAAGAAGAAAAGATTGTAAGATAGACTGTATTCACTGTATAGTTATGAGACTCACAGAACAAGAAGAGACAACAAGAGTCACCTGATCCAACCCACTGCCCAGATGAAGGAATGCTATTCCTAAGCCCTGTCAAATGATCATCCAGCCTTCTCTTGAAAACTTCCAATGAAGGAGCTTCTACAGCTTTGCTGAGCAGTCTATTTCAAGTTATTGTCCTAGGACCTCTCTAACTAAAAACCTCTAAGTCAAGCAAAAAGTAGACTATAGCTTATTCATTGAATGCAAAGCCAAACTTGAAAAAAATCCTAAATGCAGGAACACTTTCTCTAGAGAAAGCACTGGACAGAAGTCCAGGCTGCAAGGTGTCATTCACAGGACAGCCACCCAACCTCTTGGCATCAAAAAAGAGAGGCAACTAAGCATTAATGGAGAAAAATGAATTAAAATTGTGAGGAAGCAAAAAACTAGAACATATAATTTAAGCAATAGATGTCTATATATAAGAAGGCAGAGCATTTCAGTTAACTCAATGTAATGCATTGAGACATTAAAATGTTGACACAATTGAAAGACTGAAGAATGCAACACTGTGTAAATGGGGAAACAGTTCATTCTGAAAATTTTTCAAAAGATCTATGTGGAGTAATTCAATCTATTCTGTCTGCTGAGAACTCACATCAGCCAAAATAGTGCAAGAGGAATTTCTTACCTTAGATGCCAAAAAAGCATCTGCCCTATCCTTCTATTAGCAAGTGCTCTCTCTAGTAGGAATCGAGAGAGGGCACAATCAAGAAAAGGTTCATACTTCAGAACTTGTACGAGCTGAAGAAGATACTGCGAAAGCTCTTCATCACTGGAAAGAGATACAAACTCTGGTAAACAGCTGAGTAACTATATTAATCAATTCTGAAGAATTCAAGATAAATCCATAACTGTGGCAAGGGCTAACATCAAACATAAGAAGTTAAAATCTTTCAGCCAAATTGAGAAGAGAAATCAAGTAGACTACGTGTAAAAAACTGCCCGAGAGAGTTCCAGAATACTGTTAATAATGACAGCCACCATTACCCTTGGAAAAGAAACTGACGTAAAAATTTCAGGTTCATGATTTTACCCTGGGCAATCTAACCCAATTAGTTAGATGAACTGCAAGATCCTTGGTCCTTCTGAATGTTACTTTGTAACACTCAGCCTCTGATGATGGACCTATGACACCAGCTCATGGTTACCTCTATCCTCTCACTTCGTAGAAGGGGCAGGATGGTTCTAGATGTTTTAGTCAGCCAAGAGGTACATAAGTGATTCCATATCTGAGGAGGTGAATTTTTGTTAGTTTATTCTGGGAATCAATGCAAGAGGAATAGTGACTAAATTGGCCAACATTTATCCTTTGCTTTAAAAAAAAAGTTTGACTCTTGGCAGCCCCAGGCTAAGGAATCTACTAAGTGTAGATCTGTCATGCTCAAGGAGCTGATGATCCATGATCATCTAAACTCTGGACCACAGGAAGTGCCCCAAAGGCAAGCAAAGGGTTTAAAACACCCCGTGAAACCTATGAATTCTGCCATGCCCCCTGTCAGGCTCCACCTGCTCTGAATTTAAATGGCCATTTGAGATGTATACATCCGCAGCATCTAAGGGCTGGATTTACATTTCAGCCTATAGCTGTTTGGTATTCTATAGCAAGGTGTATTTTTCTTTGAAAACCCTATATTTTCACAGTTATACCGTCACAAAACAATGCTTACATAATGAGTTTTTGGTACTAAAGCAAAAGAAGTGAAAAAAATTGTCAGCCTATGTTATATGAATAAACTCCTTAAATTATTTTAAGTAATGATCTATTAAATGGAGAGACAACTTGACAGATTTAACATTATAAAATGTTAAAATTCAAAAATACAAACAAAATAAATCCTGGAAAAATTCAAATTCCAGAAGCCAAGAATTATTTAAATACCTCATCCACAGAAACTTGCAAATAACCTTTCAACCTGCTTTTTCATTGGTTAATTGCCCTTTAAACTATCTTCTGATATTATATTAGAAATGTACTCTCATTCAATAATAGCACACCAATTTCCGGGAAACCCAAACTACTTTCAGAAGATGTAACATCTCCCATTTTATTGGGGATTGTATTGCTTCAGTATTTAATCAAATCCAAAATTATGTTCCCCCCCCGGCTCTCCTTCCCCATCATCATGGACAGAGAAAAAAGCTCATCTTGGATTCAAGTAGGTCCCAGGTAGGTGGAGGCTCAGCTCTGGTTTTGGGCCAGGGCTCAGGATTGAAGCTGGAGCAAAGCTACTGCCTGCCTCAGCTGGAATGGCTTGTTTGGGATGGAAGCAGGAGAGGCCATGTAACCAGGGGAGCACGGGGAAGACCTGCAATATTTCCCCTGAGCTCTTATACCCTTGTACATGTGCCAACCCCTTCCCCCATCTGCTCTTCCTGTAGCCTGCCCCTCCCACCCCTTGGTCCCTAACCTAGCTGTCCCCTGCTCCCTTATCCTGTGCTCCTTGGTCCCTCCAGCCCCAACCTGGAACAGCCAGAAGCTGCCACTGGGCCAGACTGGGCTGCAGTTGGGCTGGGGCTGCACTGCTGTTGACTGCCTTGAAAGGAGCAGAGCTGCAGCAGAGGATAAGGGAAGTGGTCGGGGAGGCAGCCTGCAGGAGGTCAGGCACAGGTACTGGGGGCAAGGGGTAGGAGGCAGATATAAGCATGGCAGGACAAGGAGCAGGAGAGCAAGGGGCAGGGATCTGGGCACTTTCTTCATCCCTCCCCTCCCATCCACCCCCACTGCTGCTTTCCTTGCTACAGCAGTGAAGGGGGGGTAATTAAGATGACATTCCACTAATTGGATTCTATACATGGAAAATTATAACACATTTGTAATTTTCCATGTATATAATCTAATTATTGTGGGGCCATCTTAAATTCAAAGTTGCCTTAAATTGATAAATACAGTATATTTGGATATATCTGAATTATCCCTAATCTTTTAAAGTATCTTTAACATTTGCAAACTGCCTGTAGAACATTTTCTTTTCTCAAAATAAACAAAGGTAAAAATCAAAGTTTTAATCATTACAGAAGAGTCAAAGCAGCTGGTGGCATGTGTGTGTGTGGTGAAAAAGCTTAGGAATCTGGAGAGAAGTACTAAAATCTGCTGTAGCATAAGAGACAGCAATTATTTGATGTACAACTTATTTCTGTAAGAATATTTTTCTGTTACTTGGTGGAGCACTAGCCATCATTTGGATTAAATTTTCTTTATATTTTGCTGTCTTCTATCAGGCTGTGAAAGTCAGAAACTGAGTTTAATATTTTGTTAAAGGCAATTTTGCATTGGAAACATAACTAAGAATAATTTTCTCAGATGTACCAATTCACATTATTAGGTTAGCTGGGGTTAACAGAGCAATTACTTGTTTATATTTGAAAGAAGTCAAAATATTTTGTCAATAATCTAGCCTTGATATAAAAAGCTATTCATCTCACACAAAGTTTAGCTATCAAGGACAGGGAAAGTGCAGTAGAGCTGCAAATGACAAAGCTCCATATATTCTTGACGGAAATTCATCTAGCAGCAAAAATACATCTTATAAAGAAATAAATACGACCACCAGAAGCTATGCCAAAGGGCAAACTGAAATAAATAACTGAATGTAAATATTACATTTTCACTAAATGGTAGAGCGAGAAGTTGAGACTTTTTGGAGGAGGGAACCTGGATTGTGATCTTTCCAATATTTTATTCATCTTGTTTATATTATAGGTTTTATGTGGGCATCTATGTGTGGGAGAGGATGCAGCTATCTTTTATGATTTTGAGTCCTTTTTCCCCACTGTAAGTAGAATGCCATTTTCCCCAAGAATTCTTTAATTGTTAAATGGTTACTACATACATACCTCATTAGCTTTAAGCAACCAACAGCATATTCTCTTACGTACTGGTCTGGATAATTGAAATCTAACAACTCTAATGCTTCTCTAGGAGGCAGTTTTGTCCATATCTGAAGAAGAGCCTGGAGCTGTTTTGAAAAAAAGGAATATCTATGATTAGTCACTTGTAGAATAATTTGAGAAAGAAGAGATGGACAGATTTTCCTGAGGATAAAATATTCACAGCTATAGGAGAGATCCGTCTAGAAACAAAACCCCACAATTTTCGGGAAATAGATACATTTCTTAGTGTATGTGTACACGTACACACCCACATACAGGTGCACTCACACACACCCTTCCAACATACTTTAATGTGCATTTCTAAAGGTTTTATTTTCTGAAATCTTATTTTTTCAGTAACAGTAAAAAACCCCCAAAAAACAAAAACAAAACCAAAAACACACACACACTCAAAATTTAATGTTTTCTAAATGACTGAATTATTATTGCAATACATGCTTGTGGGAATTTTCACCAAAACAGAAACATTTTGATAACACTTTTTTTCACCAAGTTGTACAATAATGGCTACCTAGGTCCACCACTAACTCGGGTCAAATTCTGTCCCAATTTATGATCTGTGTAATCTCACTGAATTTAGAAGATCCTGAAAAGGGTGTGAACAACAACAACATTATTCAAATGCTCATGCTATGACAATCCCAGAGAAGAAAATCAGGTTTTTAGACACTGAGGTTACTCTTACAGTAGTTAAGACTGATGGCATAAATTTCAATTTGTAAATGTCAGAAAAATTTAAAACAACAAATACTATCTGGAATGTGACTTTTTCCCCCATAGAAATATACGTTCAGTATCCTTGCTCTATTAGCTATTCAACTCATAGCTACAGCTAGGAATATCCACCAAAACTTCTCTTTGTATCAGAGAGCAATACAAATATGGGGAGCCAAAATACTACAAACAATGGTGCTGTAATGCTAAAAATGCTGAACCTGCTGTGTATCAACAGAAGGTGCTGAAACTAACCAGAATCCTTGAACACTGAAAAACAAAACACCTGAAGAACGGTGTCAGAACATTAGAATCAGCATTTTGTCTGTGAGGGTGGTGGTCCCTATTTCAAACCATCAAAAATGCATGTTGAAGGTGATAAAATAAATCTAGTTGCTGAAACATTGCAGCTGAAGGCTGATCTCAGTCAAAGCTACAAACATGCGGCACTTCTTAAAATTCAAATCATTTTTGGATGCTCCAAATTAGAGAAGTAATTTGAAAATCCTGGACTACAGGAACCAAATCTGTGCTGAAGTTCAACTGAAAATATTCAATTCTTAACACTGATTCCACCAGCATTAAACTGTTAAAATTAAAGACAGAGGTTATTAAACCAGTAAATGTTAAGTGATATGACCTTAGAGGAAGTAAGAGCTAAATGACCTGTGAAAGAGCCAAGAAAATTCCAAAAATACAGAGCACTCTTGTTTACATTCTTTCACTGAATCTTTATTAAGAGGGAAGTGCAGGCCAAGTAGCTTGATGTCCCAAGCGGGTACCTACTGATCGAAATGTGAAGGTTAAAGGATATTAGTTGTACTTGTTATATTTGGACCAACATCCCCCCCACCTTTTTTTAAACACATAAAAGACTCCTACATCTGCCAAACAGTTTGGACAATGGGAAAGTTTCTTTGAACATCTGTCAAACTTTTCATTAATAAGGACACTCTCTCTCTCTCTACTGAAGTACTTCTTCATTAAAATATTCCCAAAGATGTCAAAAACATTTTATTATGTTTAATATAGGAGAGAAAAAAAGAACTAAAATGACAACTCAGTACCTGAAAAGTAACAGCTTATGTAGTCATGCCTATATTATTAAGGATCTGGTGTTTGTGATGAAAATACCAGGGACTGTTACACCAGGAAGTGAGGAATCTCAACTTTAAATACTCATGTGATTCTAAAAGAACTATAAGAAATAAGGGGTGAAATCTGACCTTTAATTATATAGGTTTGGAATTCCAGCTGCCCACTGCCCAATCTGTCAAGGAGCAGACATGGGAACTATTACTTTTGGAAGACTCTTATCACACTCAGCAATACAATTCAAACAAAGTTTAATATTTTTATTTTGGTCATTTAAAATGTCTCAAAGTGTCCAATTTATCTATCTTTCTTCTCTCTGTTCCCAGCTGTTGAATGTGCCACTCCAGACATTACAGAGGAGTCAGTTTGGATAACTTGCTTCATAAGGTTTAGGGGTCTCTTCAGGCATTTGAAGAGAATGTGTGGCCTCTCTCACCAAGTTCTGCTATCCTGCCTGAAGAACTTTGTTAGCGACAAGATATCACAGCAACAAAGAAGGTAAGGATGTACAGAAACTTATTCTAGATAACTGTTCCAATTGTAGCATTTGCAATAACATGCTATGTAACAACAAATTACCTTATTTCCAGAAAATTGATATGGCTTTATAACATTTGCAATTTCTAAAAAAAAAAATCTAAAATAAGATATCCTGCACACAATTTCTCAAGAAAGACTCATTTCTGACTGCAAATGGAAAAAGGAAAGAACAGAAAAGCAGTCAAGAAAAGTGATGAAAACATCAGCTGTTTTTAATCTTTGCACCAGGTGTCAGCCTCTATGTAACTGGCGTGATTAAAGGATCCAGTACCAAGAAATTAATGTACTGTTGCTTTTGTCAGTTAATTAGTCAATGCTGTCAGGACCCCAAACTCAATTCAGGTGATTAAGTAGTTTGACAATGCCTTAAAAATGAAACAAAAAAGAAAAACAAGCTGGGAATTCAGTCATGAATTTCTGTGTTATAGCAGTATTGCTTTAAAATCAAGGGGAGGATGTCTGGTTATTTAGGTATTTTACCAGTGTTTATAACCTTTACCTTTTCCCCAAATCAATTTTCTACAACTTATGTGTATAAATTTGGCAGCTATAAGCAATTAAGCTACAGATGGTTATTCAGATAAGAATACATTTTAAATGCATTAAGTGCAATATATGCAAATAATACAGGTGAGAGTGACCTGAGTACAGAGGGACCACACAAAGTACTGTATGTTACATAATGGCTCATGCCATTAATTAATGCCTTATGCAGTGCTCAAGACCGTAGGCAGCACTTCTGTTCAGGGTCTGGCTACTTCCTAATGAAACAGGGGTCCTACACAAGAAGCAGTTTTACTTGTGCTGCAAAACTTCATTATATATTTTCTTCCCCAGAACTAAAAACATTTTTTTTCCAATTTTAATGAGATGAAGTTCCCAATCCACAGGTTTGGAACCATAAGGAGATATTAAATGTACAAACATGAACACTATACAACCATGAACGCTATACCATATAACTTCTGGAACCAAAAAAGAGCTTATAAAAATTCCTTTCTCCATTTCTTTTCTACTGTTTAACTCTGCAGTCCTCCTCCATGTGAGAGGATTCAGGCGGGAGAGTCCACACATAATGTGTGCCAAGAAGCAGCTCTG